TTTCAAGCCACTTGTGGACTTCTTGTCTCGTATGACTGTATATATAATGTGGCATTTGAAAAACAATCCAACAAGAACGATTGCAGCTGTGTGTACATATGTATGTGATAACATTACCGCAGCACAGAAGTTGCCAGTTGCCAGTGACACTGCCAGTTGTAGGCTTCTGTAAGCCATCACATTTTGAGGACTCTGTGCCGTTGACAGCTCTTTCGCACAAGCACCTTGGCAGGGAATTCCCCACCATTTCTTTGGAAACTGCTTGATATTACACATGTCCGTATAAATGGCACAGCATATCGGCAGATGTGCAAGCAGGGTCTTTTTTAGAACAGCTCCAGATTCTCGGTTTAGCTCCAATTTCCAGGAATCCAACGCATATTCCCCAATGCCAATGCCATTTGGAGAAAATGATGAAATGGTTGGTTTGTCTTGGTATCTGCGCTGCGGGACTTCCACATCAAAGCAACGTTCAACAGCAACATGCATTACATAAAGGCGCGTGGACAGGGAGGAGTACTCTTTGGGGGGTACTGGTGGCACAGTCGTGAGATGTGCCTGAGTTATGACATCTCCACCACCCGCTGCGATAAGCATCTGAGCGCGTTTTCTCGTCATTCAGGCACCAGGAGCATCAGGTGCATCTGGCAAACAGCTGTAACAACGTTACTCCTCTCGTACGTGAAGTACGTTCTTCATATACATGTATCTGTTTTTATTTTCCAGTGATTCCATTTGTCATGGCAGGGGGATTGACATTCAAAATCCTTTGGATTATGGCAGAGCAACCGAAACGTATCGCGGAGCTGCCGCTGACTGCTGCAGAAATATGTATATATGTATCGTGCTATTGCTATTTGGATGGGAGGGGAGGTTGACATTTATATTGACATTGGATTTGATGAATGGAGTGAGTGATCGAGGCTGCCTGCTGTAGAGACAATCTGGAACAAATAATATTACAAATGAATAATTTCTCGTACCGAAGATAATGTGATTGAGCGGTAGGCAAGTCCTTGCTCCCAACTACTCCCACATGTCGCTGCTCATTGATGCTCGATTCGAGACGCACACGCGAATGCTGAATAAGAGAATACTCGACTTGGGACTAGTTGATAAACCCTTCGATCAGTTAATAATATTTAGACGAAGAAGTATATTTTCTATATCGTTACATCGAATGGTCTTGTAAACAATGCTGGGAATGCTCGGAAACACTTGTGTACTCTGTTCTCTCAAGATTGCATTCTGTGGCATTTCACTCGAAGAATAAATCACTAAATAAAGTGCGAGAGAAGGAAGAATGAGACGCAGCAAAACTTCACAGTTAAATGCGTCATTTGTCGGAATTAATTGCCATTCAAATCAAAAAATAGCAAATATTAGATTGTCGAAAATAGGCAAATAGTATCTAATGCATACAGTCAAATGTATCTGCACCTATACTAGCACTCGCACTCGTAGTCGTATTCGTAGATGTAGAACCACTTGCTGCCATGCTGCCAAACTGCACTCAAATGAATCGAACCGAAAAAACAAACAAATTATGAATCACGGAATTGAATGGACGTTTCGTCTAAATAGTGCACAAGGTCAATTAGTTGAAATACTTGTACCATCAACAAAATGTATACATACATATGTACATACATACATACTCCGAATATAAATTAAATAGTGGATTTTGTTTTTTTGTTTTACGCGATAACATTTCAGTGATGTTTTGTTTTGAGTTAGTTTTGAAGTTTGATTTGTTTGGATGTTTCAAGAGCAATCAGAAGAACTGGATTACTTTGTCAATGTTTAAGAGATCCTGTTCTAAATGAGAAACAACAGACTGTTTTTAAGAATTGTCCAATGCAGTTTGAACAACGATCGCCTAATGAAAGTAATAAAACCGCTCGCTCAAATAATTATATAAATCTGCATATATGTATGTACATACATATGTATTATGCCATATATGTCAATATCTAAAGGAGCCAAAAGGGGGTAATTCAATTGTCAGTGACAGCTTGCACAGTTTGACGTTTTGGGAACTCTGCCGGTGACAGCTCTAGCATTTGAAACTCTTCAAATGTGGGAAGAGATGGGGGATATAATATTGCACATCTCTGCCTTATGGCAGTGAAAGAGCAGCTGTATGTGCTTGTGCCTGTGTATCTAGATGGAATGTTCTAGAAGCATTTAACAAAAGGATATAAAAGAGACCGAATGATACTTACTAAAAATAAGACATGGTTATATCTTTTTGCTTCGCATGTAATAAACAGTTCAAACCGATAAAAAATAAAAAGAATTTGTAACGTTTAAGAACAATGAAATGAAGAAATAATTACCCGAGTATGGGATATGTAACCCCAATGAGATATTCCTTCTTTTTGATATCTTTTTGATGACTTTCAGTTCCGTCGATCCTCGCTTACTCCCTCAAACTTTTTAGTTGCATTTTGCTCTCATTTATTGCGTAATTTACTACCGAAAGTGCGTTGCCTTTGAGGAGGAGGGAGAGGAGATCAAGGCAACCCTCCCCAGGACACAAGTTTCCCCCAATTTGTGATACCCATTCGTAAAATCCTTAAATGACGAAAAAAAAAGTTGTTTTCATTTGACTGTGTGCGTGCTGTCGTTCCAGGAACACAGCTTTGTACAGAAGCTCCTTATAAGAATGAATGTGAATGTGAGAATGTGAGCTTGTGTTTGTGAAAAGGATTTACGCGTTGTTTTTCTTGTATATTTCGCACATCGTATCGTCGTTTCTTCGGGATGTTGTTCTGGTTGTTTCGTCTCTCTGTGGCAGGGGCAGGGGCAGGGGCAGTGGCAGAGGCGGCGAGCAGATAGGTTACCAGATACCTGAGCTATGATTTCGCCTTGAAACTTCGTCATTCAGGTGCATGTATGTGTGTGTGTGTATCTCGTATCTGTGTCTGTGTCAGTGTGTAGAGCGAGTGCAAACGAGATGGTTATACGCAATTTTTGATCTATTTTTTGGCTTCAGCTTCGGCTTTATATGCCAAAGGCTCTTTGTTTGTTAGTGCTCTCTCTGTGCTTCTGGTGAGCATTTTGTGTAATGGAAAAAGCATTTCAAATGCAGCTGCGTAAGTTTCCATTGCGTATTCGTTTTCAGACAACAAATACAACAATGGAAAGGCAAGAAATAGTTAAGAAAACGCTCCTAAAAGTACAGTTGTGCACAAGTGAAGCTATTGCTCGAAAAGGGAGCTTTGGTAAAGTGCAGAAGCGATTGAGGAAGTTTTTTTTAGAAGGTTCCGTGAATGAGAAGATGGCAGTAGGGGATGATTGGTGACCGGGAAAGGAAAGGGTGATAGGTGAATTAAGGAATAATTATGGAGATATCTGTTATAAGGGTCGTACTACGTATCTACGTAATTACGTAATTTCTTCTACTCTTTGTATTACCAATCAGCTGTATACATATGTAATGGATGTTGGATGATCTACGTAACCCTTTTCGAGCTACTTGGTTACGGTTGGGGGCTATTTAAAAATGTTGAACCATCACTAATAGCTGATATAATCCCTATATCTTTGTTCCTCCTCGTTAGAAGCGTTGTGTCTAAAACGTAGTTTCCTCAAGATATCTTTTAACATAACATGACAGATGAATGTGATGTTTTTTGCTGTAGTTTACATTCAAGCAGCAATACCATTCGGAATGAAAGTTATATTCTTAATTAACATAATAAAGAAAGTATCTATAAGAAGTTCTCGTTCTCTCCTGTTTTATTGCCCAATCAGCTCCGATCAATTTCTCTTTTACCAACCATCTTAGCCATCATGGGCAGCAGCCTTCTGCCCCTGCCACTCCCAGCTGCTCCCCTAAAGCTCTCCTCAGCTCTCATCCAGAGAATTCCAATTGAGAGGAGACTCTACCTTAGACTCAAAAACTGCAAACTTCCCAGGAATTTCTTAATAGCTTTTTACCGATATATTTTTTTTTCTCTGTTTGGCCATTCAATGTGTTTCCATGTGGTGTTTGCTGTTGCTTCGGGGCTTGAAACGAAACGAAACCGTTGATTTCTGATTCCTGTCGCTGTCCCAAAAAACGGGGGAAAAAAATGAGTGAGTCAGTGATGAGGGAGAGGGCTCACAAAGGCGTAGTAGTGGCTTCCACAAAAGTTGGCGGTGCCGCATTTTTCTAACGATTAAACAAATTCGAAGAAAACAAACGCATCCCATGCAACGATGCGATGCGGTGGCAAGTCCAAGGCGAAGGCGAACGGAACGTCACCTGCAGTTTCCAGGAATTGGGGCAGGCAGGGATGGAGCAGGGACGAGCGGCACGCAACGATGAGGCAGAAGGCAGAAGAAACCGTAGACGAGAGGCATACAACAAAGTCAAAGGAGAGGAGAGTCGTCCCCGTAGTCACTTTCAGAATCAGCAAATCAGAAAGTTCTCTCTTCGTTGCATCAAAAACTGAGGCTGTGGCTGAGGCTGCTGCTGAACCTGCGGACGGCGGCATATTTGAGTGGTCGAAAATTCCCAGAATTGAATCGTATATCTTCGTTTTTTTGGTTGTATCGCTTGGCCCTTCTAAATGCTCGATTAATTTCTAATAAATTGGTTGGCCAGAGGAAATGCTGCAGGCCACAAGATAGGATTACCAACACAATGCGATGCATTTGAAATTCGAGTGTATTGAACACTATTCCAGGAACTACTGTGTTATGTGCAAAAGGATCAACTTTTAAGGGTACACTTTTGCAACAGTGCATCCCAGTCGATAGACTAATTTTTGAATGATTTCTGATTGAAAAGCAGGCGCTGCGCCCGCTGCCGCTGTGTGTTGAAATGTCATTCATTCGCATCGTAACCGAAAATAATCCCAGCTGTATGTTTATTTTGTTCATTCTCGTTGCAGTATTTGTCGTGTTCGGACCCTGTGATCTGTGTTATTCGTAATTTGTTGAATTTATACGAAATTTTCATCGACATCAACAATTAGTTATCACCAACGATTACCAACGGAACGGAAATAACACACAAAACATTTAAGCAAAACAATTGCAAAATTCCCTTTGGCTAAGGATTTGCGGCGGTCATACACGGCTTTTAGCTTGGCTGGCAGCCACAAAATTCAACGAAATTCCATTTTGGCAACCCGAGAACAAAAATCAATCAACAACGCGCACAACGCGTACAACATTTCAACAATCAAGAATCATTTACATTAGTCGCTCTGGCGCCGTTCGAACCGTATTTATCCTGAAAATTCAGCAGCAACAAAAAGGATACGCCGGATAGGAATACGGCCCCGGCCGATATAGATCTTAACACAACGGAGGTACAACTGCCGTCAACATGGATCCGCAGCAGCAGTTCTGCCTCAAATGGAACAGTTATTCCTCCAATTTGGCAATAACGTTCTCAAATCTCTTCAAATCGGATCTACTGGCCGATGTTACACTATCCTGCGATGGTAAGTTTTGCAACAATTACTTAAAACCATTCAAGGTCAAAGAAAAGGGCACTTCTATAAAATTCTGAATTCTTAAGGGAAGGATCACAATGCGAGTATATGGCTAGAAGTGCAAAGAAGTAAAAGATTGTACATTATTTCCCACATTAAATTCATAAATATTTTAAGAAATTTTTTTAAAATTTTGACAGGAAAATCTTTACGATTCAATGAAATTTTCTGAGTGGATATTGGAATTTTTTAGTTAAATTTTGAGATACAAAAACCTTTGCTTGAGGGACACGGCTAGTCATATTTCAGATTGGAATACTTTGAGTAATATTTTCATACATTTATTCAGAGACCTTTATACCCGCAACCCCAAAATCCTAATATGTGTCTGATTTAAGCGATGTAATAATCATCACATCATCAGAACAGGAAGAAGTAAGATCCTTAGGAGATAAATATAAACATAATCCGGCAAATCATCACATTGAATTATTCCTTATTTTTGTACCAGACTCTTGGCAGTTTTTTTCGCCTTGTTGGCTAATAAGCTACCAGACATTGATTCCGTGTTTTTGTTCGTGTTCCTTGCGGGTTTTTGTTTGATGCCGACGCGCGAAGTAGCTTTTATGGTTTGTCTCAGTCTCGGTCTCGTCCTTGTCTGTCTGTCAAGGTCCTGTTCCCGTCGCCCTGTTGCTGAATGTTCCCCGTCTGGGTCTACTAGTTCATTTACGGCCTTTTACTACAGTTTTTATGCTGGCTTATTAAATGGAAAATAAATGCGGGCCGGGACCGCACGAGACGGGAAGGGATGGGACGTTTATGTATAAGTACGAGTATATATTTGTACATATGTACATACCTACTATAAGTATATTTATTTGGCTTTGACTGAGGTCAGTTATTTTTGGGGTTCTTTTGTGTTTTGTGTGGTGTGCCTTTTGGGACCCTTGTTAACCTTCCTTTTCTTTCCGTTTTGCTCTCTTTTGATTTGGGTTTAAATATTTCCCTTCTTGGCCCGTTTTTGCTGGGTGTTTATGTGTGTTGTGTGTCGTCTTGGCTTACTTTTATGATTATTATATAGGATTCTGTGTGTACACATTTACTCCATTTTATGGTTTTTTGTTTTATGCTTATGTAAGCCTTGGCCTTCAAATGATTTTAAATTTTACACAAAACTTTGAAGAGCAAGAGTGTGAGCTTTCGCCCTTTAAAGCACTTCCAGATATTACTCATGTGGAGGTATAGATTTTTGCATTGATTGAATGAGTGGGAACAACAGTCGCCGACTGGGATTATGGGTGCCACGGAAGGGGTTCGGGATTTGGGATTCTGCAGAGACATACGCAGACATAGCTTTCCAACACAACACAAAAAAAGCCTAGACAAATCCTGGAACCCCTTTACGTCTCTCTCTCTTTCCGTGTGCGAGTCCCCGTTGTCACTCATATCAATCGAAGTGGTACTACTTTTGATTAAAATTTTCCGACCCAACCCCAACGCCAACCCCACATATCTCGTAAACCCTTTGGTTTCCCTGCTTTTAATTGTGGTTTTTAATAATTCTTTGGTGGCTTGGGTCCACATTGGATGGCGGCAGTACATTGGGAGTCCATCCAAAATCTGCATTTGTTATGTTTGATTTGTCTCTGGCTCATGGTTCTCTGTTCCCTTTTGTCAGATTCGAAATGAAGCATTAAATATTTGGCCGTCTGCGAAAACAAAAGCAAATAACGTATGTTTTTTATTGTGTTTTAATATTCATGTGGCTGTATTTTTGTTTTACACATTTTCGATAACAGAAGGATGCATGGCTTTTGGTTTTTTGGGGGGCCTTGTTTGGTACTTGAGAAATGAGCATTTTTACCCAAATGAACATTTGCTTGGCCTTGGGCCATGGTTCTAGGGGGTGTGACTGGGTTGTGGGGTGGCTGGTGCTGTCTGGTGGGAGATTTCCCCTTTGAGGGGATGATTTTCAGATGAACCAAAATATATTTGAAGATTTGTTTGTACTTTATTAAGGTGTGTTCTTAGTATGGATTTTTGGGAACAAATATTACAGTTTTTTCTATCGATAGATTTGTATCATTTTAAGAATTTTTAAGTGCAACAACTTCTTTGGCAGCAGACCACGTGCTTTTCATATCCCATGAATTATTCGATTAGATTACAAAACCCAAACCCGAAAACCTGCCAATATTTCGAGTACTCTGTGCGGAATGTTATTGCCAAACTGCATTAGAGTGTTAGCGGGTGCCAAAAACCCAGCCCCAAATCAAAACAAGTTGTTGAGGAATACTACTATGATTATTCGGGCATTAATCGGACGGGGGATCGGATCGATCGGGGGTGCGAGCCAAAACGTAAACAGCCCACGAAATTATTTTCTACACATTATATGACATTTCTTTATCAAGGCCAGACCATACAGTCATATCGGAACACACACATATAGACGGAGAGAGAGATATACTCGTATTCGTCAGTGTATTGTGGGTTTTGGCGTTTTCTTTTGTGGTGATTGTGACCCAATTTCTGTTGTATCAAGTGTTAGAAAATCAAGCAATACAAAAAGCAAAAAACAAAAAAAAGAAGGCAGAACATAATCATGAGAACAGAACGTAGAAAACAACCAAAATAAAAGTTGTATATATATTGTGCGGAGGGTAAACAAGTGTGCGGCATATGTGAAATGCAATTTGCGTAGTATTAATCCACGAATATTATATAATCGGCGCGGATAGGTAGCATTTTTTGCGTGCTAATGAGTGACGACGACGACAAAAGCGACGACGACGACGACTTGGATTACTGGTGGTGCTTTTTTCTAATTCACTTCCTAGTAGAGTTAGTGGTGGGAATCCGTGCCTGAAACTAAATCCATTTCAAAGCCTATTTTTGGTGCAATGATGGTGCCTTCAGTGCTGGTTTCGCAGTATTCTGTCCCACGTATTCTGAGCCAAGCCCGCGCACCCGTGTTCCATCTCTACTTCCGAGAATGGTTTCAAAGCTCTTAAGCAATGCGGCATTGTATGGATGACCTTGATGGTGTTTTGTTTTTTGTGTCTTGTGGCTCACGAATTCCCGTTTTGTTATCACTATCAATCCGCCTAGAATTCTCTTATCATCTGGCAATTGGCATTGGAGGCGCACCAGCACGAGCTGGCACAATTTCTGCTGAAATCAATATATAAATGGACGGGGGAAAAGGTACTGCACTGCGATAAGCCCCCGAGGAAATGTTTAATGCAGCAGCTGCTCCTGCTGCTGCCTCAAATTACGAAAAGTGTCAAACTTGAAATGTATTTATGAACAATGTTGGCGGTAAATAAAATGTCACTTTCCTTCAGTGTGGAGTATCTCTATGGCAGCAGCAGCAGCACCAGCAGCAGCCACCGGTGTTCGAGTGTCACTTCAATTTGGCTTAAGTAATGCTCGCTGGCAACACAACAAGTGCCCCATAAAGGAGCGACACATAACTTTCAGAATCGCCTGCTTCACCCAAACCCACGCGCACACCCCCCATCCAGCTGTCCTGGGACCCAAAAGAAAAGCGTGAAAAATGTTAGCCGAAAAAAGCCGAAAAACATCGCATATACCACAAAAAGCAACTCGAAGGAAAAGCGGGGTGGTGGGGGAGAGAGCACATCAAAATATACTTATTTTGGAGTGACTGTGTTTTCCAGCGTGGGATGGTGCTTTTCCGCCCATCAGTTGCCAGGTAAACTCAGACGCCAGGACACACACAAAAGATTGCCAAGACCAAGAGCAAGACCAAGACCAAGGCGACACATTGATGTTGAATAATAACTCAGACCCACAGATAGAGAGAGAGAATATATAGTATACATATGTATTTGTATGTATGTATATAAGGGCAGCGAAAGGGACTGTGAGACTAGAAAAAGGGGGAGAGAAAAGCTCATTGTGTGTCTGTTTTTGTGTGTGTAGTCAAGAGCAAGGAAATCATTTCCTTGCTTTTCGCTTTTTATTGCGCTACGTGTTTATGTGTGTGTGGCGCTCTCTCTCTATGCATGTGAATGTAAATGGGTGGGTGTGGGAGGAAGGAAGGATGGGGAGATTATACTACTCGTAGTATATATATTTGACATGATTTTTTACGAGTTCAAGGTCTTGGTTTCGCCGTTTTCGGCGCCACCTGTTGGCTACTGCTTATGACTGGGATGAGATGCCGGTAGACCTGCTTTAATGGAAAGGGAAATTGTTAAGGAAGCAAAGATTATTAGCGTTAATATATGGAGGGATATGTTAAGTAGGCAACAGAGATTTTATTGGAAGCCCTTTAAGCCCTCTAAACTGCCTAAGGGATACTAAATTTACCCCTCTTTGTCATTACAGGCGCAGTATTCAAAGCACACAAACTTATATTGGCGGCCTGCTCAAAGAAGTTCGCCGATTTGTTTGAGAACACGCCCACCAATGGTCAGTGCGTCATCATACTGGAGGCCACAACGCCCGATAATATGGCCGCTCTCCTGGAGTTCATGTACAAGGGCGAGGTGCATGTGTCCCAAGAGGCACTCAACAGTTTCCTCAAGTCTGCCGAGAGCCTGCAGGTGAGTGTAGTGGAGTGTTTTTTGAATGGGACACATCTCTCTAAGGTCTCTATCTCTTCGATCAGGTCAAGGGACTGTCCACAGAGACCGGTCGTCTGGCCGCACAGCAGGCTCAACAGCAACACATGGGCGACAGCTCGCCGCTAGATTCGCCCACAGGGCGACGTAGTATGCGCAACAGCCTCAGTGGTAGCAGCATTATGCCGGGCGGAGGAGCAGGCATCGGGCTGGGAAGTGGTTCCGGGGTAAACTCCATTCCCGGGAGCCTCGGCAATGGTAACGGTCTGAGTCTGGCAGGTGCCCTTAGTGGCATGGCCGCCGGTGGAATGGCAGCTGCCGCCAGTGTGGCGGCCAGCGGATTGAGTGCCTTGGCGGCCAGTGCGAATGCACTGGATCGCTGTGGCAGTGCCGGTGGCAACATTATCGGGGGCACAGCAGCGGGCCATGGACCGTTGAGTGCTGGATCCGGAGCTGGCGGAGCCGGTGGCAATGGAGTGGGTGGCAACAATGGACCCATTAGCCTGGGCAGCGGTGCTGGCGCCGCTCTACATCTGGGCGGGTCGACTGGCAGCTTGAAGCAGGAGTGCGACTCGATGATGCATCCGGGCAGTAGCTCATCCTCCACTATGGGGTACACCCATGTGCCGCCCATGTACAGACCCATCTCCTATGAGCCGCTGCGCAAGCGTGCCCTCCGCAGTCCGTATGCCGAGCAGGAGCTGCGTGGCTCTGTGCTGCGCGACGGCTCCAAGAACTCGTCCTCCGAGTGCCCAAGTCCCATCAACAAGCCACCCTATCATCGTCCATCGTCCAGTGCCTCATCGACGGCACCCACCGAAGCGGATACCATGCACTCGGAAAGAGCCTCGCCACAGTCCAGGTGGGTTAACGAATGATTTGATACCTATTGAAGCTGATCCAACACTTATTCAACCATTTTATCTCTTCGTTGTCTTGTCCTGCCCTTAGTCGCTATGAGAACCACAGTCCCAGCACCACAGCTGGCAACGGCAATGCCAACAGTGGGCTGGATCGCATTGTCAAATCAGAGCGTAACAATGGTAGTGCCAATGAGGCAAACGATGATGACCGCGAGCTCATGGATGAGTCAACAGATGTGAGTGCTACCAGCAAACCAACAAAAAGAGTTAAACCAACTAATCCTTTATACTCTATCTCAATATCAGAATGGAGCCGAAGATCTACGAGTGAAGCTGGAGAACTCAAATTACTCCCCACCACCGCCGCCGAACTCTAACACTTCATCGACAACCCCGAACGCACTGCTGGAGAACCTGAAGAATGCGGATGGAACGCTGTCTGGCAATCTGGCCGCATCGATAGCGCCGGCCGACATGTTGAACGTCTGGAATGCCACCAAGATGAATAACAAGAACAGTGTGAACACAGCGGACGGCAAGAAGCTGAAGTGTCTGTACTGCGACCGCCTTTACGGGTACGAGACGAACCTGCGCGCCCACATCCGTCAGCGTCATCAGGGCATTCGGGTACCCTGTCCGTTCTGCGAACGGACCTTCACCAGAAACAACACGGTGCGGCGGCACATCGCCCGTGAGCACAAGCAGGAGATCGGACTGGCGGCTGGGGCAACCATTGCCCCTGCCCATGTGGCAGCCGCGGCGGCTGCAGCGGCGGCCGCCAATCATTCACCATAGGAAGCGGCCGCAACAGCAGCGGCAGCAGTAGTCATGAGCGCCCATAAGGAGGCGGCGAAGCAGCGTAAACGTAAATCACTCAAGATGGCACTCGAGAAGTGCATGCAGCGGCGGGATGCGATGGCCGCAGTACCGGAGGCGGTAGGAGGGGGCAAGGAGGCGGCGGCTTCAGAGATGGAGGCGCCATCGCAGGCGTCGGGGGCACACACAATACACACGAGCGGTTCAGCGGGCACTGAGCCGTTCAGCTACGAGCAGCAGCAACAGAAGATGCACCACGAGCTGGCTCAGCAGATCAAGGCGGCGATGGCCGTCGAACAGGCCCAGCGGGCCGAGGCCGAGGCCGAAGCAGAGGCCATGGACACCACGATGAACACAACGGTTAATACCACCCTCACAACCACAACCACCAACACCAGCCACACCACAACGGGCACCAGCGACGGTGGCAGCGGCAGCGATGCCGAAGCCGAGGCCAGCGATGGTAGCCTCGAGCGGATGCGGACTCAGACGAACATGGAGGTGGACATGGAGTCCGTGCCAGAGCCACAGCCCGGCTCCGAGCTCGTCGTAGTGGAGCCGAAAATAGAGCCCCTGTCGGACACTGAGGATGAGGACGAACACGATCATCATCTGCACATGTCCGAGCCAGAGCCGGAGCCTGAGCCGGAGATCTACAATCGAATGCCACACACGCCCACCAACCCCCCCCACACTATACCGCCCAACGATACGCCTACATTGACCTCCACGCCCAAGGTCAATGTAGAGCAGTAAGAAGGAGAGAAGCCCCCCAAAGAAGCTGCATAGATTTAGGTTAAGAATTGATACCGATAAACGGATGAAGGATAAAGGAGAAGGAGAGGAGAGTGATTTACAAATGATTTACGCGCGCGCTAAGAAGATGAAAAAGAAACAGATGACTACTGTTGCAACTGCTGTTGCCCTCGGAGACCACCAACCAAGCAACCTGGAGGCCCTGGCACCAGAGGCCCAGGGAAAATTTGTACTAAAAAAAAAACAAAACAAAGAATTAACTAATGTTTCATAAGATTTGTATGACAACGACAACATTACACACATGCATCACACACAAGCACACTACATCACGCACACACACGAACAGAAGGCAGTATTTGATGTCCAACTTTTTGCAGAATTTTGCATTACAAATATTTTTTAGAACAAGCCACAAAAAGGATATAACAGACCAAAAATGATTTATAACTAAATGGAACGAATGAAACAAACTACACATAAAAAAATTAGTGATATTTAACAGAAACAGAAGCATTAACCAGAACCAGAAACCAGAAACAGAAACAACTACAAAACCAGATACAGAACAATAATTGAACAGAACACTACAAAAAAAAAAACCGAACAGAACAGAATAAACTATAAACACTGCAATCCGGCTGAAAAATTGTTTTCAGGGTGCTAATCAAAGAGAATTTCGCAAATTGCAAAGCTCGCAAACTGCAAAACTGCAAGATAATTAAAACTAAAACTATAAAACAAACAAATAATAGTGAATGCAAAAAGTTTGAACGTTTTTGATTGGTACAGCCTCAAATGTAGACAAAAAAGATTAAAACAAATGTCAGATGTTTGTTTTTTTCGTGTGTTGAAAGAGTAGATCGATCGATCGGATCGATACGACTCAATGACTGTCGCGTATTTATTTTTGATTTCCTAAAGTAAAAAACACACAACACAAACGAAACGTAAAGCTAAAGAAAACTGAATTTAGAACTATTAAAAAATAGCTGCAACAAACAAACAAACAAACAAAAATAAGCAAACTACAAAGCAACAATAGCAACAACAAAACCGCAACCACAAGTACCTGCAATAATTAAATAGTATAAACAAAAAAGAAACAAAATACAACATAGCAAAGAGAAACGAAATGAGACGAGAAGATGATAAATGCCGAGGGAAGAAATACGGGGTGCCACAGGCTGCTTGGAACCCCTAACGGGCTTACCTCACTTCCAAACTGCCGTTTGTCCAAGGTTTTTTGTAAATAATTTTATTAAATTTATAATACGAAAAGGCAAACGAGGTATACAGTCGGGATATGTGATGGAAAGCCTCCCATATGAGGGCCAAGCCTCCTGGGATCTCTGCTTAAAACCAGTGAAAGATTTGCTTTAAAAGAAGAATACTAATACATTAATTTTTTTTGTTTCTTTTTGTTTTCTTGAGTTTTTCAAATCAATTTTAGGCCTCGAAATTTCAAAACCATTTAGCTTCTTTTGGCGTAAAACAAAAAGAAAACCGAAATTCAATTTAAAAGATTCTTAAGAAAGTAATGAGAAGAGAAAAAAAAAACCATTGGTAAATTGGGTGCCTATATAAGAATATATAATTAAATGACTACTAGTGAAATTTTATAAAACAAAGAATATATATAACGATGAGGGAATGATGGAGGATGAAGAAAAACAAATAGGAAAGAAACGTAAAGTAAATGTAATTATTTTTTAAAAATTGTTTAATTCTAGCCAAGTGTGAAACATGTTGATAAACGAAAATGAAACGATGTAAAAGATTCAGTAGCAACCACTCAAAAACGTTCTCAAAAACTTTCAACGCAACAAACAACAACAACAAAAACAGCAAAATCTACAGCATGACAAAATTCAAAATCATAACAACTTTTGGCACACCTTTGGAAAACATTTTTCATACAAAAAAAATTCACCAAAAATGAAAAAACCACCAAACAAAAATTCAAAATTAATTATTTCGGCTCTTATAATTTCGGAAGGCTACATCAAAGGGGAGGGAGGAAAACTAAATCCAAGCCCACCTTCCCCCGCTAGAAAACCCACAAAGAACAAGCTGTAAAAAAACTAACAAAAAAACATAAATATTTGTTGTAAGCAAAGATTGAAAGAAAACCCCAAGTGGGAAACAGTCCTCTACAGAGCGGACAAAACCTGTAAATACATTTATCAATATGCATACATATACATCTATATACATACATATGTGTGTGTCTGCAGCATATATGTGTGGCCTCAGTTGTATAATGGAAAGCCTAGATATACATAGATATATAGTATATATACATTGTAATACATACAGCACTAAGCGCATATGTAGGAACACTTAGGCTCGCCAACAGAGAAACAGAGAAGAAGAGAGAGAAAGATATAGAGAAGGGTTTAATTTGATTTTGAGACAAGCTAACTGAATTTCCATAGCAGGCAATAGCAGGAAGTCCCCTGATAACTACAGGATGTCCACTCTGATAACCAGCCAGACAACTCCATAGAAAAGCTAACAAAATAATAGCCAAAATGTTGAATATTTTAAATATATTAACTGTTGAACCACACACACAAACACATACAAAACACGCATACTATACAAAATCCACGCATGAAGGAAGCTCGCTCTTTGGGCTCCGATTTTTTAAGTAAAGTTAAAATAGTTCTTACTTAACCGACACCCAGTTTGTTCTGTGATATCGTTTTGAAGTTGCAAATGAAGAAAAGGTTTTTATTTTCATTCAATTCGTTTTTATCGTTCTATGCTTAATTCTTCCCCTATAAAGATGAAAAGCCCATTCGAATTTCAATTTGCCTTCGTGTTGAGAAATAGAGACAGAAACAATAGCAATATTATACAATTAAAACATGGCAATATTTTTAACCAAAACTACCTCTTTGCCGCACACGCTCACACACACGACCATACACACATGAAGATAGAGTACCCCTAATAGCAGTCCTGAAGACGGGGTTCCCCATCAACGTTCGCTGGAGTCTGAATTACATTTTATTTTTAATTACGTTGATGGGACTCCATCCAAGGACTGAAACGAGGTCCAACCTATTAATCAATCAATTAACCAATCAGATCAGTCCGTGAATCAATCAAACAATATTTAATATTCAGGGGTTTATGATTAACCATAATATATGTAATACTTTTAGCTCATTTTTTAATTTAGTTTTTATGCTAGGTTCTTCGTTTTCGTTTTTGAAATTAGACTGTAATCAAACTCAGGAACTCATATACCTCAGGAAGCAACCTACCTCTTTGTGTTTTTTTAAGCTTTGTTTCGACTAATTTTACGATTATTATTATTATGATTACGATTACGATTATGATTTCGGTTTCCATGGAATGTGGGGTGGAAATACACAAACTATTTTGTTGTAATTGAAGATGCTATAAAGGAAAGCTTTAGTTTTTAGTTCGTTTATTGGTTAGTTCACACGATACATGCGATTACCAATAACCAATAACCAATTACCGATTAACAATAACTAATTTTAAATGCAAAAGACACACACAACACCAACACACACACACAATAGCTATAATGGGAAACCAAAACCAGATCGAACTGCAATAGTAAACTGAACTACCTCAAAAGCCATAGACTGCGCAGTAACGAAGTAATGAATACCTACATATATTATTTTATACACTTTTCATTTCATTTGGTTCTTTTTGTAAAATGGTGACGCCTACACACACGCCACGCACATACATACATACATATGTACACAATGGAAAACTTTTGGCTAATTAAACAAAATTCGGTTGAAAAATCCACCACAGATTTTCCTTTGGAATCCATAAATGTAAATATGCGCTGAAGCTTACACAATTTAAAAATTAAACGTAAAACATAAAAAAAATATACTTTCGCCTAATCTCTAATTATACGGATATATATGAGTATCCTACAATTTTACCATGTACGAGTATGTCTGGAGAGCAGAGCAGATGTAGGCGAAATACGAGTACGACCAGGATTAAGATCATTTGTATACATACATTTTTGGCAAAGCAACTAAATGAGGCATGAACTAAATAAAAAAAACACACACACATAATTCTATATGATCCTACTATAAACAAAAATACAAAGAAATTATTTAAGGCTACCAAATTTACAAAAAAAAAAACAAAACAAAAAAAAAGAAAATAACGAAATAAAGAAAATCCACAAAAAAAGGATAGCAAGAAAAACGAACACAGTTAAATGAAAGTATACTTTTCCTTGAGCCGAGTGCCCAGAGGCCAAGAAAAACTCTAAAACTAAACGAAATTGAAACCCCAAACGGTTATAAAAACAAAATGAGAAGTTAAAACATTTCTACCTAACGAAAGTGGAAAATTTTCTAAAAGAAACTTGCGTAAACAAGCAAACTAATTGCAAAAACCAACAATTTTAGGCTTAAACTTTGGCTAAAAAAAAAAACAAAAACAAAACAAAAACGAAAATATGTAACAATTATTAGACACATGCAAAAGAAATCTATATATATGCATCAAATATTATACAAACGTAAATATTTATTTGAAAAGAAAACAAAGAGAAAAATTAAAAAAAGGAAAAATATTTGTATCTATAATCAGAATTTAGGCCCAACTTTTCGACAAGAAGGCGTAAAATAATTTCTTTGTAAAATATGTTTGCAAAAAAAAACAGGAAAGAAATATTCCCCGAAAGCATAATTAACTTAATCTAAACGTAAAATAAAAAAACAAAAACAAATGTCGCCATTTTGCATTTAGAGCGTACAGTACAGAAAAGCACACGAAGCGTGACTCCCAGAAGAGAGTCGCAAAACATTATTGTACATAAAAACTATATTAAAGAGTGTATTGTGTATTGTATATTCGTAATTCTGGAATCAGTTTAGTTACCCCCTACCCCTCTTGCGTTGTAAAAACTATTTTTAAGCAAACACAAAAACCGTAACGAGAAGAAAATGATAGCGATATACATACAAATATATAGTACATAATAGTGTGTGCACAGGTACAAAAGAAAATTAAGTTAAATTTCAAATGAAATTTAGTGCACGAAACATTTTGTAAGAGATCGATGTAATTTTTGTTATATATTTTTGTTAGTAATTGTTTTTCTATTAAATGTTTAGTGCAACAACAACGCAACCCACGGAAGTCCTCCCCGCAACAAGCCAATTGTACTTACGATTATGATTCAATTTCAATTTTATTTTTA